CGGTTGGGACGCAATATCACTGCCACCGATGGAGCTGACTGCCGATTAAGGTACAGATGATGGCGTTCCTAGATATGTGCGCACTTCACGCAAAACATAAAGTCTATGAGATTATAACATTGAATAGGTATATAGCTGTCTAGCTGAAGCATTTAAAAAGGATTACAAAAAACAATAAGTGTTACTGTCCACGAGAACCGAGAACAAAACTTTAGACGGCATAATCTAAGTATAGATTATTAAATGGAACATAGCAAATTAAATATAGTAGTTATGTTCAATGTAAGCATATATTTTGTTCCAGTTAAAGAATATCTGATTCTGACATACTGATCTGGGCTAAGGTTAACACAATATGGATTTCACTTTGTAAAAGTTCATAGTAAGAATGTGACTCCCATGAGATAAAGCGTCAAATGTTCAGAAAGAAATCAAAAAGTTAAAGCAAGCATAAACTCACAGATAAAACATCCCTTGCATCTTCTGAATCTGATCCATTTATTGATGATTCGCCATTAGCTTCTTTCTCAATAAACACATCTCCCTTAAAATAGGGTTTTGAAATTGGGACAAAAAAAAGTGAGCCGTTTGATAACCTCAGATTCAACTTTTGTAGGTGGTTCGTTAGCCCTCGTCTTCAAGTAAGTACTCAAAGGTTTCTCATCTCCAGAATCCAATCCAGCGAGATCATTACCAGCATTATCTACCGGTTTTGACTTCGACCGTGACGTGCGGCTTACTTTTACAAGGCTTTTCCGATACTCTGCAGTAATTCCAAATCGATTGGATTCTTTCCTTTCAATCGTTGGCCAAACATGATCCTTGTTACACTAAATACAAAGCAGATAAGGATTCTGAACACGATTTGCAAAACAATCACCTCAAACAGTTTATACTCAGCGTCACATCCACATGATTCCTTTGCTCTTTTGTCACGGAGAGGAGGGGGAACCTATAATATGAATGCTTTTACTATAAACATGGAATTCACGAAAGACAACATAACAATCGAGAGAAAATACAAACGTGATTGATGAGATTTCCATATATGCGGAAAGGCCGCCGTTCTTCTGCATCAATTCCATCATGTTCGGGAATTTTAGGCAATGTCACAAGAGGATCAGAATGAGGCAGACCCATTTTCTTGAGATATCGCTGCACCAGCACATTACTGCCATGAAACTTGCGATCCCAATAAAAAGCTTCAAAAAGTGACATTAAAAGGTGGTATTATAGTGAAGGTCTTTATTTAAAAAGATGCAATGGTTCTTACCGTGCTCAGCTGCTAAGGGGTGAATACGGCAATGAGGTGCACTTTTTTTCCTAATAATTTTTCGCCGCTCTTCAGATACGTTGCACATGTCCATATACTCTTCGTCGCTTGCTAGAGAATAAGCAAAAGTTTGAATCAAAAAATGCTCTCAGAAACGTAAAGCTTACATGTAGAGTGAGGCTTTCTTGAGCACAAATCATGAACGGTATTTAGATCGAAACCTATCTAAAAATGGAAGGTATTATGCATGTTGGACCGATAGAGAGGATTGAAAAATCAGGAGAATTACCTTGGCAATAATATCTTCGAAATTCGAATCATGGCATACAGGTTGGTGTGGATCAAGCTGCATGTTACACCGGGGACATCGCAGGTTGC